AAAATGACTGGGATTCAATCGGCCATGAGTACGGCATTCCACCTGCAGACTGACGGCGAGACAGAATGAGTAAACCAAGCGCTGGAGATCTACCTCTGCTGCTTCACTGCCAATGATCCGGATAAGTGGGCTGACCATCTTCACACCATGCAATTTGCTCACAACTCCCGCAAGCATTCCACGATGAAGACATCCCCATTCAAACTCATGATGGGATACGAACCTCGCGGAATACCCACCGCGCACCCTGGATCAAACACGCCGCAAGCAGCTTATCGCCTCAAGGACTTGCAAAACATCCGTGAGGAAGCACATGCGGCAATGGAGATGGCCCAGAATGTCCTGGCCAAGAGAGTAAAAAGGAAGGGGGGTTCCTTCCGTAAAGGTCAGCTGGTATGGCTAGACTCCCGGAACTTGAAGCTGCCGTACCCGTCCAGGAAACTAGCCCCGAGGCGAGAAGGGCTGTTCAAAGTCCTAGACAAGATCGGAACGGTCGCGTACAAGCTAGACCTCCCTAGCACCTGGCGAGTCCACCCCGTTTTCCACGAATGGCTTCTATCTCCCTATTCAGAAACAGAGATCCATGGTCCGAACTACACGAGGCCACCTCCTGACCTTATCGAAGGCGAAGATAACTACAAAGTCGAAGCCATCATCAGACACTGAGAGAACAAGAGGATGCGACGCCGGGAATATCGCGTCAGGTGGAAGGGTTACTCAACAGCCGATGACTCATGGGAGCCCGAAGCAAACCTAACAGGGACTGCGGACGAAGTGCTAACGGAGTACAAGAGGAGGAAGAACTTGAACTGATTCGACAGCAGCTCAACCCAGTCGCTACACCCCTACTCATACCAACATGTCCTCCACCCTCTCGTTCCTCGACCAGTTCAACGCCCCCTCAACCGAGGGCGGAAAGAGGATTTCGATCTACACCCCTAAGCACACCCATGTCGGCGACAGCGCTTTGCTGACGCTACTCCTCAGTAACCCCACCGACATCTTCAATAAACTCAAAACCCACAACCCCGAGGCAACCAATGCCACCGATCGCGCTGCACTAGAAGCGTACCTCTCTGCCCGCCGCGAATACGACGAGGCTGTCAAGGCAGCCAACGAGGCCATCGACCACCACAAGCAGCTCCTATGTCAACAGGACGACCGTGTCCTCACCGAGCTCATTCAACTCGACAATCTGAAAGTTGCCCATTGCTTTCAACCACTCCTACCACGCAGCATCTGGGCGCGACACAGCAAATTCATCCTGCGCGCCATCCCCAACGCATACCTACCCCTACCCGCACCCCTACCGACATCTGCCTTCAGGCGCCCTCCGATCCTGTCCCCTTTTCTCCAAGCAACGCCGCGGAGCACTACCATCCCGGCTAACTGGCAACCCAACCCTGGTTGGACCCCGAAGGGAAGCTGTAGGCGATGCAGATCATCTCAACACTGGGTACGGGACTGTCTGGACACATGATGCGCAAGATGCGAAAAAGAAGCCCCTGGACACCTGGAGTGAGAGTGTGGAACCAGGCCGATGAAGCGACACGTATCCGCACCACCTGAAGAGCCTGCGCGATGCGTGGGGGTGGTCATCGACAATGTGTTCGTCAAAGGAATCATCAACGAGGCGAAGGAGAGGAAGGAAAGAGAGAGGCAGATGAAAGCGGTACCCATCCCTCCACCATGCAGCGCTAACCCCGAACCCCAGGCCAGTCCCATCGCGGGATCCTCACGCCCCCACCCCAATACACCCATCATCTTTCGCAAAGTCGACCCCAACTGGACACCCAACACTACTCAATGGATGTGGGACAGCTCCTGGCCGCGTCAGGAGCACCTCTCTGGCGAGGAATGGAAGAATGTGGGGAGGAACACGCGCAACGAGTGGTTCGATGAACAGGAGGACAATGGCATAGACTGGGAGTTGTATGGAGATGGTGAGCAGTAAGTAGTCGAATGGGACTTCGACTCTGGTAGGGGGGTAATGAAACATTTGTCTTTCCGTTCTATTTCTTGTACTACTAGTGCCCATACTGGTGCCTGTCTTAGCGCTCACCCGCAGGTTGAACATTATGTAGCTTACATAATGGGGTCCGTGCGCACTTCATACCTGGTAATGTACCACTATGTTTCTTTCTTTCCTAAACACAACCACACAGATACAGTGGTCCGTGCATAGCTGGTACTTGTATAAATAGTTGTACCATTAGTTGGTCAGACCCTAAGTTCAACCTGGTTATTCATTCAAGTCTCTGCTCCTCTTCACTTGGGGTGGTAGTCATTCTCGACTTCCTTGCTCGATCTTCAGGACGACGTACTGTCCATAAGTCCTCGCTCATTGTCTATGAGTCAGGCATTGATCTAGGAGTGTAGACCATTGTATCACGACCTCTGTACTTTACGCTCAAACAGACAAGTCGTTATCTACTGTACAATTAGATTAGAAGGGACGGCAGTGCGCGGCACAGCTCAGGCCCCACTGACACAGCCATGTTGACTCACCGGCCCCCAGGGCTGCGTCAGCATGCTGTGCACGGACCAGCTGCGCATGAACCAGCGCACACAGCCTGCCCTTATCTTCCCCTGTATATAAGCCGGCCTCTACTGCCCTAGGGACCTCAGTTTCGACCTCTTGTCCCTAGGTCAGTAAGCCCTCCTTTGTATTCTTTTCTTACCTTACTACCTAATACATTTATTGTCCCTAGCCTTAGGTTTGAGCATCACTCACCATCGCTTTGGTATGGATTAGTTGAACACCCCCAGCGTCCTTTGTTTGGTTTTCCCCAGTCGCTTGACCCTAAGTCACAACAATGACCAGCAACCGGCGAGTCGTGGTGGATCTTGACAATATCCTACCGGAGCTCCGCATCCTTTGGGACATAGACCAGTCCATGGAACAACAGAAGCCCTTGTTTGGCATTCCACTCCTCAAAGCCCTTCTGCAGCCGAGGTGGACTGAGGTCCTGCACCTTCTCAAGTGCCTTAGCCACTGCCCAATCCTTGTTTGAACATTCCCTGATGTGTTTCAGGAGCAACTGATCGGCTGTCACCAAAGCATGCCCACATTGTGTGGCGGCAATGCGGAAGCATTCCTGTTTGAGGACAATCTGATTGGTGTTGTCATCCTCATCGCCGATCTGATGGTCTGATCAACGTGACAGGGCATCAGCCTTTCCATTTGACGTCCCGGCCTTATGCGTGATGCAGAAATCGAAGCAAGCCAGGAACAGTGACCATCGCGCTTGACGACATGTGAGGTGCTGTGATGTGCGCCAGTACTCGAGGTTATTATGATCGGTCATGATCTCGAACTGGTTGGGTAACCCTTCGAGATAGTGGTGCCATTCATCTAGCACTTCGATGATCGCAAGCATCTCCTTATCGTAGATCTCATAATTATACTGGGCGGGGTCCATAGCATGAGATCGGAAGGCAATCGGGTGCCATTTGCCGACATCCTGCTTTTGCATCAACACGCCACCAGTGACATACCCTGAAGCATCAACTTCAATGCATGTTTCCCAATTAGGGTCATACAGCGCCAAGACTGGGGTTGTGACAAAGAGCCACTTGAGCTCATCGAAGGCATGCTGCTCCTCTTCGCCCCATTGCCATGGGTTGTTCCCTGTGAGTTGGTCGAGTGGTCGCAAGATCTTAGCAAAGTCTTTAATGAAGTGGTGGTAGAAATTGGAGAACCCCCGGAACTTCTGGACATTTTCTTTGTTCCGGGGTACCAGCCACTCATGAATTCCTTTCAGCTTCGCAGGATCCATTGCTACCTCATTGCCACCGAACACACAGCCAACGTAGTCGACCTTGGGAACATCCCATTCACATTTCTCAGGCTTCAGGAACAGATCGTTGTCCTGAAGGCACTGAGAAACCAGTTCCACATGAATTCACTCCGTTTACTGTGTGAATGTCCGATTTCACATGGCAAGGGTGTGAAAAATGGATGAAACACAGTCAACACCGTGAATGGATGAAATCCACCCGGCCCTCCTGACGGATGAATTTCACCAGAAAAGCGGCGGGTTTTCATCATGCAGAATGATGAAGGCAAACAATTGATACATTGCATCAATTCTGCTAATGGCTACTAATGTACAGATCATTTCTGTGTGAGCGTCCATTAACTGCGAACACAAACATGCTCTTCAACTCATTGCACCACATATACAATAGAGTGCCCATCCTCTGACCATCAAAAAGGGTGCTTTATTGTAGGCTGCCTAGGGGAGACAAACAAATTACCGGATTTAGGATGAAGGATGCTCCAATGGGTTGGTCAGCATAAGAGGTAACGCGCAGCACCACACCTCTCTTGCAACCGGACTTGTCGACTCCCGTCACTCAACATCTCTCCTCATGTCATATCGACGACTCACGCTTACGGTGCAATGGACGTTGGACCTGGTAGCCATATGCACGGCAAGAAACATGTGAAGTGGAGTATGTTAGGGTCCCCGCATTTGTGAACATTGTCGAAGAGCAAAAAAAGGTGCGGTGTCAGCGTTCAAAGCCAAGGTTCAGTGACTCGAAGGTACATTGTTTAGCAAACAAAGTTGCTCCACAGGTAACGAGTTGGACTTGCAGGTGGAGATGGGACTAGAGAGTGACAACCGACTGTTTGAGTCGATCCAGGTGAGTAGTGGGTTCCTTGCCGAATCTTGACCAGAACTCACAGTATCTCTGAGTGATCAACACAAATGCACTATTAACATTGTTGCTAATAGCTCTCACCTTAGTCTACCACGGTATCGACATGATAAGACAAATATTGGACACATCATGCTTCTGGTAAGCACACGTCTCAATTGCAGGAAATGGCACTAATAATATGTCAGGCACACAGCCCTGTCTTGAACACTTTGCGTGCGATTGGGCAACTGAAGAGGATGAAGAGATCGAGCACAAGAGTGCTCATAGGGAGGGTAAAGACTTGTGAGCTAGGCATCATGCGCGTGCGGTTTGAGATGGCAAGGATAGAGGCTTCGAGCTCATGCATAAGATAGTGATTGAATGTTCGCATGACAGAACCCTGTAATATGTGTATTGATAGATGATATATATGTCTTCTGACCGATGTATCCTACCCTGGGCTCGAGTGCCGATCTACTCAGCTATTTTCTGGAAACATTTGTTTCTCACTACTGCTGAAATTCATCCGCTATGATGAGGGTTTTGCTCGTGTTCTTACTGGTGGAATTCATCCATTGTGATGGAGTTTTCACCCATTATCCGGATGAATCCAGAAAATCCAGCGCTGGATGAATGGGGTGCACTTTGTTCGAAATTTCGGATGAATTTCACACTCTTATTTTGCACTCTCGCTGGATGAAAATGCCACTGTCCAGATGAAAATGCATGCACTCTGTGTGTGAAAAGTACACAAATACCATACATTTCACTGGATGGATTTCATCCAATATAGGTCTCTCAGTGAAGGCAGCAAAGAACCTCATGTGTGACCTTCTCATGCTCCTTCTTATTGGTAGAGAAGACAAGTATGTCATCCAGGTACACGAGGACCTTTCCGCCGGTGATGAGATCATGGAAGATATCATTCATCATCGCCTGAAATGTTGCGGGGGAATTGGTGAGGCCGAAAAACATCACCAGGGGTTCATACAGCCCCCGGTTAGTTACAAAGGCAGTCTTCCATTTGTCACTGGCTTTGATCCGGACATTATTGTATCCCCATCTGACATCGAACTTTGTGAAGAGTGTGGCACTGTGGAGCTTATCTACCATTTCGGCGATCAGCAGCAGTGGATAGCGATTTTTGATGGTGATTGCATTCAACCGACGGTAGTCCTGCACAGGTCAAAGTGTCCCTTCCTTCTTTTTGATCAAGAAGAAGGGGGATGAAATGGGCAACTTTGACTCGCGTATGTAACCTTTCGCCAGCTGCTCCTTTAGGAACTTGTCCAGCTCCTCCTGCTCGTTGTTCGACAGCAGGTACACCTTTGAGTGGAACTTCGAGTAGCTGGGTACGAGCTTGATTGCATGATCATATGGCTTCCTTTTGGGTAGCCATTTTGATGCTTTCTTGGAGAAGACTTTCAGGAACTCGTGATACTGCTTTGGCATGGACTCCTCGGCAGTCTTAACAACATTCTTCTTGATCTCCTCCTCAGCGAACAGCTGGGAATATATATGTCCTGCTGCAATGAACAGCTGAGGGGCACCGGGAAGCATGATGCCATGTTTCCAGGCCTCAATCAAGTCGGCCTCTTCCCACTTTATCTCTTCCGGATCTTCCTCAGGCTCAAAGTCCGGGAGTACCTTACTCCGGCAGGTGCCTATGACCAACCACTTGGACTTTGGCAAACACCTGTGCACTGTGGGCCTGACCCCCGTATCACACGCAGTTGCTGCTTGCTCCATTCGGCCAGTCTTCCTGGCACCGCACATTTTAGGACATCATGACAGTTTGAACAAGCCTGTCTCCCAATCTATTTTGGGGTTGTGCTTATGTCACCAATCCAGCCCAACAATCATGTTCTCTGGACCTATGTCTGTGACTGTAAACACTATCTTCTCGATGTGATCTCCTATCTGCATCTGTAGCACAGCTACTTCCGAGATGCTTCCATCTTTATTGAGTGTTCCATCGATATTGTAGAGCGGAATTGGTTCCTTCAATTTCCGTGTTCATACTCGATTCTCCATGATGAAACACTTGTTGATAAACTTTGTGGTGGCTCCGCTGTCCACCATTGCAACTATGTCCTTGTGCCATCTTTCTCCTTTGAGGCATACTGGAATGTGGAAGTGCTGGGACCTGTGGTCCAACTCGTAAACATTTGCAGTCGCCAATACATTGTACACATTGTTATTACGAGGTCCGACGCATGCAGCACGAAGTGTGGACCAGATCAAAAAGATTCCTCCTTCATCACCCAATAGTGCTCGAGCTCCTCGTGCATCGTCTTCACCTGTGCC